CCCCCCCGCGCACTTCCCCAGCCTTCCAAACTACGCCATAACCCTCAACCCTTCCCCCTTTCCCCATTTTCACCTTGCCGACACCATCGCCGCCCTTGGCTATTCTCTTCCGGTCCTAGTCGGGGGTTTGAATGTTATTGTATTCCACTTTCCCGTTTGTGTCGTGTTGTAACCTTTTTTCTAAATTAGTAAAAGTTTATTTTTGTGTTTCCACTGAATTCCACCTAGTTCTGGTATCATTCGGTATCAAAGCTAGCCCAATCATATTCCCATCCTAGGGCTTCTTAACATCCGCCAAAAACCAAAATTTTTTTTGCTTATTTCTTAATCCCTAGTCATGCCACCAAGGAGATACATGTCTGAGCCTACACGAGAAGAGATAAGGCGGGAGCTCCGTCACCTTCAAAAAAGTCTTGTAGAGATTGAAAAATTAACACAGAAAGAAGTTACATTTGACCGAGATCTGGAGAATCAAAGAGGAGAAAGAAATGAGGATCTGAATCCCTTCCATAAGGATAATTTCAGCAATGAAGAAGATAGGCCAAGGTGTTTCAAAATTCAGTACCAGAGGAGACCTAGAGAGGGATATTTGAATCCCCTCAGAAGGAGACTCACAGAGAGAAGATATCATTAGGAGGACACAAAGTCTTCGGCATCAAGTTAGATCTGCCAGAGTTCGAAGGAGGTATGAGTCCTGAGGATTTCATTGATTGGTTACAGGTTGTTGAGCAGATCTTCGAGTAAAAAGATGTGTCAGAGTATAGACGAGTCAAATTAACAGTCATCAAGCTGAAAAATAGTGTTTCTTTGTAGTGAGAGAACTTATAGAAAAAGAAGAAAAGGGAAGGCATTTATAAGATTGTCAGGTGGGAGAAGATAAAAAATGTGATACAGAGGAAATACCTCCAACCCCATTACCGCCATGATAAGATTCTGAGACTCCAACACCTGCAGCAAAAGGATCCATCAGCAAAGGAGTTCACGGAGCAGTTTAATCAGTTGCAGATGAAGTGTGATCTGATCGAACCACAAGAGCACACCATAGTCTGTTATCTTGGGGGATTGAAGCCAGCTATCAGCGAGGTGGTACAAGCTTACTTTAGGGATCGATGAATACTTGATATTAGTGAAAAGAGCTAGAAGAGTAAAGAACGACTATCAGCTTATTCAGAAGCATAAGGAGAAGCATAAGACGAAGAGCATTGAAGAAAAAGAACATGTTGATTAATCACAGGGTTCAAACGAGAAAAAAATCCAAGAATGATTTCAGATGGAATTGCCAGAGGTATGACAAAGAGCACTATGGTAATTTACGCTAAATGTGGAAGACAACATAAAGGTGAATACTCAATGGGCTCTAACAAACGCTATAAGTGTTGTCAGTCTGTTCATATAGCAAGCTATTGTTCATCTCTTGAGCAAAAGAGCGTTGAAGGTCAGAAAACAGGTGGAGCTCCTTCACACAAAACTGCAAGCGGGCAGAAAAAGAGAGACTCTATAGCTTCAACTTCTACCCAAGGTCAATCATGACAACCTATTTGAAATCAAGTATATTCCCTTTAATCATACTGAGCCTGAAGAGTCTATGGTTACTGATGGTGATGAGGTCTGACGAGTTTGGAGTTTTTTATATATACACTATTTTTATTTGCTTCAGTATTGTTATCCGAAGCATAGTTGAGCGCCTTATTTTTTAGTCTTTACCTTTATAATGATTACTTTTTCATCTTAAGGAATGACCACTAGTTTCATGGATAACTAATGATGATCTTTTTAATAAGAAATGCCTTGAGGTATGTTTATAAATTTCGATGATGAAATTTATGTAAGCGAGGAAGATTGTAACATCTTGTTGTTTTATTACCGGAAGAGGAATCGAAAGTGTCTAACAAAGTGGTAGAAGCGATGGGAGAAGAAACGAGAAGACATAAATCAAATAAAGAGGGAGAGCAAACGAGGTGATCGGAAGGCTGCATACGAGTTCACCCAATAAATCGACTTGAAATGCGGGATCTCTCGTTTAAGCAGTCAAAGAGCAATGGAAGGGGTGTTGAGTGCTTTCTTACTAGAGGAGACAACGCAACAAGTCTCATGCTAGAGAAAAGAAGTGGATGGCAGTTTTGGCGGGATCTCTCGTTTAAGTAGTCAAAGAGCAATGGAAGGGGTGTTGCGTGCTTTCTTACTAGAGGAGACAACGCAACAGGTCTCATGCTAGAGAAAAGAAGTGGATGGCAGTTTTGCGCTACTATGTCAAGTTGAATCGAGTCGAAGGGGAAGGAGGAGGAGCTTCCTTGCATGCGTAAGACTTCGATAATGCCCTAAAAGGTGCATCGCCTAGAGGAGGAGACGCCGGATTGAAGGAGTCGAAGCTAACTCATACGTCGTCAAGCAGGCGAGGATGGCATGGAACTCGTAGAGGGGAAGAAGAAGCCTATGCGTAGTTTAAGTATCGACATGGTAAGTTTAAAGCTAAAGTTAATTGAAATAATAATAATAATAATGATATATATATTTTTTTTAATTGAATAAAAATTAAGTGGGATTAGATAAAGTAAATTTAATACTTAATTAATGAAAAGGTAATAATTTAATATCATGTTTATGTTAGATTTCTAATTTAGAAGAGTTGACGTCAAGGCGAATTCAAGCTCAAATTAATCTTCATTAAGATGAGCACTCCTACTCTTAAATTATAGTATTATTTTGGTATCTCTTATAAACTAGTTTTATGGGTTGCTTAATGCAATTAATATTTATTATATTAAATTTTATCGGTCATTTCAATGTGAATGTTTATAATCTCATATTATGAAATATTTAATACATTATAGTATTACATGTAGAGTGATATGAAACTATGAATGATATGATTGATTATATGTGCATAACTGATTATGATAGAGTTACCACATATATGGTACTAGCGAAAAAATGCTAAGGTACTCGTGCAAGTATATAGAAAAGCATATTGATATTTATGTTTTTAATTGGCACAATTTTTAAACGGTCATTTCGATGTGAATGTTAATAATCTCATATTATGAAATTTTTAATGCATTATAGTATTACATATAGTGATATAAAATTATGAATGATATGATTAATTGTATGAGCATGACTTACTCTGATGGAGTCACCCCTTTATGGAACTAGCGGGCGAACGCTAAGGTATCCATGCACGTATATGAACAAGGATATTGATATTGATTTATCATAATTGACATAATTTTTAGACAGTGCTCATGTAACAGTTGTATATAATGAAATTGAAAATGTTATTTATATAGTCTGATTCATTGAATAGCATGTCAAACATTTCTATTGATTTATTAAAAGCTTAATTAACATGCATATTGCCTTTTTTTTTATTGTATTACTATAGTTTAAGAGGATGATTATTCACTGGTTTGTTTAGCTCACAGTTATTTTAAACTAACTTTTCAGATTAATTTAATTGATTAAAAGATGAGTGATAGAAGAGAAAACGTTTATAAAAGACGCGAATAACCAGCAGCGAGGTAAACTTAATTTTATTGCTTTAATTTAATATAATTTGTGGAACTTTCATCCGTTAAATAATAACTGAATATAAAAAATTTTATTTATACCGTTCGACTGTCTGTTCCCTTCTTAATTAATTTCGAACCCTAGGCCGAGTCATAACACAAAGTGGAGGACACATACAGGTCACAAGGAAGGGGATTAGAATAGTACTACTAAACCTACTTGGATACCAAGCAAAGGAAAAAAAAAAGATTTTTGTGTTTAATCAAAGAAAACCCTTATTCAAGATCACCTAATGGAACAAAGCCCACCTACATGAACATGAAAAATTCCTAAAAGAGCTAGTGTTACCAGAGCACACAGACCTTGAGTACAAAGATGAAACTCCCTTTGCCGTATCATTTTTTCCATTACATAAGCAGAGTGTGATGACAATTATTAACTTGAGTATCTCTTCATCCTATCTCTTATCTTCTTGAGGTTAATTCTCATTCTAAGGAAACTGAGATTGAAATTAAGGTATTTGGGTCTCCTTCCTTTACTTTTTAACCTTTATTCTACCATAGAATTCTTCCATTGTTCTGATTGATGCTTGTCAAATCATGTAAAAACCTGAACAATTAAACTTGTTTTGAACATCGCATACAAAGCCAGCAACATATGCAAAGACGGGAATTAAACACAAATTCCTAGAGCAGTCTTGCTATGATTAGGAAATCTTGTGGCGTCAAAATAATCAAAACTGCAGAGAATATGAATTCTAGTTTTTAATATCTTCCACATAAAGTCCTACGCCAATCAGAAAGTTAGCATGTGTAACTTTGACCTTGAAATCAACAAGGGTTTATCAATTTAACTATATGATCCAACAAAGTATGATGAGAAGAGAAATTTGATAAAAACAAGAAACTTTAAGTAGTCTTAAAAAGAAAGAAATTCTCAGCTGAAAAAATAAATTTAAAAAATTAAAATGAATTTAGAGAAATAGGCATCAAAGCAAAGAAGAATAGGAAGAAGGGAGTACCTCACCCCCATTAATACCACCATCGTAACATGGGCGAAGCATAAGAGCACGAGAAAGGTAAGGGGTCCATCTTCCGGCAAGAAAGTCTCTCCTGATCATCTCCACACCACCTTCGTAATGCTACAACAAAAAAAAACACCATTTAAATAATTGGTACACATGTACAATGATTACTCTGAACAAAAAAAAAAACAGAGGTACTTATTGTTACAACCTCAAGTGTATTCCTTAAAAATGGCTCTTCATTAAAATAATCTCTTCGTACAAAGACAAATGGAAGCCTAAATGCTAATGCTTCGCTGAATGTGCCATAACCAATCTTCCCTGAAATTATAGGTTTATTTGACAAACCAAAACTCAATTGAAACAATTTATACAAAAAAAAAAATATTATTATTAGGTTCCCTTTAGGATTATTACCAAGCATGCAATCTGATGCCGCTATCAAATCAGGTGTGTAAGCATCTTCTCGAACTTTTATAAAGTTCGGAGGAAGCTCTTGTGAGTCAGATGCACCACATACCTTCAGAAAATTGAAGTTATTATAAAGATAGGTATCTCGAAAGTCGAGTAAATTTAATTCTAACAAAGTTCAGAAGGGTACATACCAGGCACAACCAACCAGAAGGTAACCACTCCTCCTGAAGGTTCCAACCAGCTGGCTGCAGAAACAAAAAAATGGTGAAAAAATAAAAAATGTTTTAGGAATTTGAATTTATAAACAAAAGAAAGGAATGCTATATCAGTATCAAATAATCGTAGAAAGTTTGAGAATACTTCTCATGAATGTGACAATCAGGTTCTAAAGCCAGAATAAAAAACACGTATACCAGTTGGAATCATTGTTGAAACATGTTTCATGGCAAGCCTGGATAATCAGTTAGGTTGCTCCATGATGACTTCGAAGTCAATATTTAAATCATGAAAGCCACCTCTCTAATGTATCATACGACTGCAGCTCCACTTTTTGAGCACTATGTGACTCCTAGTCATCCAATGGAGACGGAGCACAATAACAATGACGGCGATGAAGAGGAAGATGAGGAGTGACTGTTATTTTGTTTTCCTATTTTCATTACTTATATATTTTATGTTTTTCGGTATTTTTATTATTTTACATATTTTATTGTACTAACTTTTCTGTGTTAGTGTTTCTATTTTTCATTTAAGGGATCCCAAAGTACGAGACACCCGCTTTTAAGATGACATTAAGTAGTCCAATATAAGAAAAATTCAGTTGCCCATATTTTGATATTCATTTCCTAACCAGTGCAATTAAAAAAGGCTCCAGCTGATGCGGGGCCAAAATGTTGATGTATGTCGCCTTGGGGCCCTTGCCATATGTTGCAAAGGGCTGTTATGTAATGGAAGCAACTCACACATTGTGTCATTCTTAATCTCTGTATTTATTATCATAAAAAGTAAAAAATTACAGGAATTCCAGCTTCTTTTTCTGGACTTCTGTAAGATAGCCCTTTTTTCTGTTTGGTTAAAAAAAAAAAATTCATCCTTTTTGGTTGAGCAATGAATAATGGCCAAGGCTTTGGCAGATATTCAATGAAACAATGAGAATTTAGGTTGAGAAACTGAATCCAATGAAATGAAACAATGAGAATTTAGGTTGAGAAACTGAATGAGAATCATTACAATTTTAGAGGAACAATATTTTTATCTCCCCATAGTCAACAAAATGCAAAACATTGAACAAGACTAAGAAAAAAAAATGGGAACATCAGCCCGTGAACGTAAAGATAAATGATATTTCAGTACATACTTGCCCACCAAAGTTGAAAATTATTAGCTTCACTTCCTCTCCAATTCCAAGCTCCGTTCTCACCTGGTTATTAAAATCTATGATAAGCTAAGGCATAGAATACAGCAAGTTACCTTCAAAATTCGTTTTCTAGTAGAAATCATACCTCTGATCGGGATTTATGTGCTCTCCTCACAACCAGAGGAACATCTATAGCATCCCTGAAAGCAGGCACTTCATGATTCATGATCATGACATAACATTCAATCAGTCGTGAAAAAAAAAACGTTAAAAAAATTGAGTGCAGATTTACAATTGGCTATACATACTTGGTGAATAACCAGGAAGCCGGATAACAAACTCACAATGAGAATAGTCTTCAGCTATCTGCCAAAAAATATGACAGGGTTACATAAACAATATTAAATTTGCAGTGGAAATTCAAAACTAATCTTTTATATAACTGTAAAAGCTGTTCAACATTTATTCCTCGACATAAATATATGACCATCCTTTTCACAAGTTTTTAGTTCAGCACAGAAATGAAATGTAATGCAGTCTATTGCAAAGCATTAATTGATGGGTAAATCGTCTGTCCTTAGGACAAGCATTGCTTCAATTTGGCCCACATTTTTAGAAACCCTATAATTGCATTCCTGAACCAGATTACATGCCTTATCTTGACCATTGCAATACAAATCCCATAAAAAATTCTTCAAAATCCAAAGTTGTTCTTCGCTTATAAGATGAATCTGGCAACCAGGTTAAAACTTGAGATGATGATGCGGTGCTTTCCTGGCTGAACCAGACGCTGCACCTGGGGGCTGAACCGATTCTGCTGGAAGGAAAATAGTGTTATGGCCCAAAGGGGGTCCCACCTCTCCTAGCTATCTACTAGTTTTTGTGTGTGTTTTTTAGTGTTTTAGGGTTCAATTTTTATTGTGTTTTCTGTTAGGACAGCCGTCGGCGTCCCCTCTTTTCCTCCTTAGGGTTGTATCCGATGATGAGTGATGCTCCGGCTGTATCTCACTCTGAGGTAGTGATTATCCTTCGTTTTCTCCTCCCACAACCTCCTCCTTGTTGGTGCCCTCCACCCTCCCATCTGCAGCCGTCTGGAACCTGCTGGGTGGATTCCCCTTGAGCCGCAACTCCCCTAGTTGTCACCCATGGTTGTTCTATTCGCGCCTCCCCGCTAACTTACTACTTGCTTTTTGCCCTGCGGCTACTCCCACCGCCGAGCCTCACCTTCCCTGTTGGAACCTCACCGTCAACCTATCGTCCCTTCCCCTATGACTGCCTAGTAGTTGACCATCCTCCAGGCGCCTTCTCAATTCACTTCCACAATCCCCTGTTTTTGCTTCTACCACAACAAATTCAAACTCTAACCATGACATCAAGAAGATAAATGTTCGAACCTACCCCAAAAATCCACCCTCGACCTAAGCAATAGTTCAAGTTTGTGTTGTATCTTTGTTATTTTCTAGTCTAAGTGTCTTTGATTGTAACTCTATTTTTTTTTCAGTAATAAAAGGTGTTTTCCCTATTTGGGTTAACTCCGGTATCAATTGGTATCAGAGCTAGCCTAACATGTTCCTATCCTAGGGTTTCTCGCCATCCTACGCATCTCAACCCCAAAAATTTATTTCCTATCCTAAATACTCTCTTCTACCACAACAAATCCAAACTCTAACCATGACATCAAGAAGATAAATGTT